AGTTGATCAGGTTTAAACAGACCAACCTATGACTTCCAGCGGAGGCATGGCAAGCTAAACGTGTCTCCATGGAATGCAGAGACGATTACCTCAGCAAAGACCAGAGAAACAGTGAGTAGACTGGTTCTTCAGACAGGATAGGAGATTGCCCACAAGTACTCTGGATGGCTATACCTCATAAGAAAATCACAGGATACCAGTCTCCAGCAAGTTGGAATGCCAGATGAAAGGATTAACCATCAAGCTCACATCTACAGCTGGCACCTTTTAAAAGACACTAAGTTTGCTATCCTCCCTTCTAAACACTTTTGGGAATTGCTTATTTAAATATATTAAGACTATTCGGAACAACAAATTTGAAGTCTCCCATGACAGTATCAACAATATCAGTAACAATGTGTTATTTTAGTATTCCTAGATAGTTTGGGAAAGATAAATCAGGACCCCTATTTAAAGTGGTGTGGTAAACAACTAATTCTACCACTGTTTGCTGGCTGGGAAAATTGTGGGAGTTGAAATCCACAAGTCAAGATTGAAAAACATTGCACTATAGTGTTCATTGGCACAGCTTCCAGGAAAACATGTCCCAGAGTATATCTGCAGCCCCTGAATTTCATATCATGAGAGAATCAAATTCATTGTCACCATGATAAAAAAATGGTTGAGATTCTAGAAAGAGTGCACAGAAGAGCAACAAAGATGGTTAAAGGCTATCTCGTATAAACAGTGGAAGAATGGTTAATCAGTGGAACGGCTCGTCTCCAGAAGTTGTGGGTGCTCCATCTCTGGAGGTTTTTGAGAAGAGATTGGAGAGCAATTTGTCCAGAAAAGTTTAGGGTCTCCTGTTTGAGCAGAGGGTTGGACTAGAAAACCTCCAAGGTCCCTTTCCAACCTTGTTTTGTGTATTCTATTTAATGGTTTCTATAGAAAAAGGTTGTATTCAGCATAACTCAATTCTTTACCAGTATGCTCTGCACTGTAATTTATTTTCATAAGTGAGCCATACACCATCACCAAATAAAGGAATTGTTTTTTTGTAATTAAACATTCATTTCTACTTTATGGGATTTTTATGCATTTTGTTCTATTATTTTCATATTTCAATTTTGGATTGCTAAAAATGGAACAAACTCTGTTTAGCATGAATATTATCAAATTATTAGAGGATTGTATTCTTTGAAATGATTCGAAAGAATTGTGTTGGAACTTAATATCTCCATGATACTAATTAAAGCAGATGCGTGTTTTCCTGGTTCAAATGGAAAAACTCCCAGGCTGTTTTAATTAGGAGTCAAAAAATGCTGTGCTCATGAAACTTCCAAAGCACTTTCCCCAAATCATTTCAAAGAGTGCCCAACTCTTTGAACACGTACAGCCCCAATAGTTATACATTTTCTTGTAATCACTTGTAATGAAATTGCTTTACATGCTGAAGTTCATTTTGTACTTCTTTCGGGAACAGTAGTTTTTAAACAATCCTGTTTCAGACATTTTAGAATAAATTTATAATTTAGATAATTTCAGATAAATTGTGAATATGAAACAACAAATTTAACAAATAAATCAATTAATCTACTCTTCCAGTAGGGAGTTTGAATGATTTATAGAAGAGCTCCCTCAAAAATGATTTCATTCTTTCAGGGAGAAGCAGAGGCAATGACAAAAAATACTTTAAACTCCTTGCAACATTACTTTTTTCAATGTTTTGTAAACACAAGTCATAGACTAACAAAGACAATGTTTATCTGAGTTGATACTTTTCTTCCAGTTAGAACTGTTTAAAACTCTGGTAGTTTAAATTGCTTAGTTTAAAATAAATACGTAAATACCTATAGAATGGATTACAAGAACTCGTATTGTGAGAGCATTTTCTCAAATGACATGATGGCTGGTTTTACCTGTTAACCTCTTGTGATTATTAGAATGTTCTGAACGCTTGGTGAAGGTTAATATATTGCAATATAGCTTTGAAACCAGGGGCAGAATGTCCTTTACATTATTTATGTTATTGCTTGTTACCATGCATCAGTGATATTAACAGCTGAAATCAGTAAGTGGGAATATGTACAAGTTCTATTATGTGTAGGTGTATGAAAGTGGTGGTTGTGGTTGATTGTGTTGCGTCTGCAAATGATGACATTTGTCTTATGAATCATTCCAAGAACCCCAGAGTAATGTTCACCTTTTCTTTAATTTCTTTATTTTTCATTAATGACTGGCACAGATAGTGGAATGAAAATGTCACTATCTTGCACAGTGGTGGCTAACCTTTTGGGGTTTCTGTGCCAAAAATCGTGCTCGCGCACGCATGCCAGCACCCAGAAGGCAATGCGCACATCCTCCCATGCCCCCCTGTGCATGTGCGTGCAATCCCCTCTGCCCACTTACCTGCACTGCACCTCACAGCTGATTTTCGGCTCTTTTGAGGCCTTTTTTGGCCTCCCAGGGGCTTGAGGGAGGCCTCTGCAGGATTTGCAGGCCGAAAAATGGGTCCATTTTGTCACTTCCGGTATTTCTGGAAATACAGGAAGTGATTAAACGGGCCTATTATTTGGTTTGCAAAGGCCTTCCTCAAACCTCTGGGAGGCCGAAAAAGGCCTCAAACGGGCCAAAAATCAGCTGTGAGGTGTGCTTATGCGCAGTGAGGTAAGTTTGCCTGCGGCTTGTGTGCCGGCACAAATGGCTCTCCCTTGCCACCTGTGGCACAAGTGCCATAGATTCGCCATCATGGATCTAGCAGGTGCAAGAGATCTTTTTATAAGAAGCATAGCTGCAACTCTGGACACAACACAAGATTGAGAGTGTTGACTGTGGATAGTGAAAATATTTTGAGAGACAAAAACCTTGTGTGTCCAATCACATTTGGCCAATCAACAATTGTGTGTCCAATCACATTTGGCCAATCAATCAACAACTATTCTGTTCTGTTCTATTCTATTCTATTCTATTCTATTCTATTCTATTCTATTCTATTCTATTCTATTCTATATTTTCTATTTTCTATTCTATATCTTATCCTTCCCTATCTCGATCCCATTTCTCCAAGTTAGATTTTTAAAGTACTGAAATTGATCACAGCAAGCAGTGGAGTTTCTAGTTCATACCAATTCACGTCTGATTTTATTATTATTTTCTAAATCTTTTTTGCAGATGGATACTGCTTTTGCAGTTGTGCTTATCATGAATTAAATTGAAAAATATTTTTGCTGGAAAAACAAATACAAATTGGATTTAAGTCAGTCACTAGTAGTACTGGGACCTAGTAGGACTGGGACTGGGAGTCTCAACATTTTCATGATTAACTACTTTAGAAAAGTAGTTTGGATTAGATAATGGTTATAAAAGAGGAGAAGGGAGGCTAATTAATATGCCTATTCTAATAAAGGCAGTTGTGTGTCCTTTAGCACAGGGATCACCAACCTTTTGGACCTCAGGTACCACCAAACTCATAATTTTAAATCCCAAGGACCACTAACTGGTTATGTGGGCGTGGTCTAATTTGTGGGTATGGCTTGGTGGTCATGTGACTGACTGGGCATGGCTTGTATGTAAATACTATAAATATTTATATAAATATCAATTTTTTTTTAAATAAAAGAACAACTTTTACCCAAAATCAGGCAAAGCAGGCAGGCAGGTTGACTTGCTCACAGAATCATTCAGTGATCTATCTATCTGCCATCGGCTAGCTCAGTCTGTCACATAAAATTTGCTTGCTGTGAGTCTGCACTGAGTAATAGAACCTTCCGTCCTAAGGGAGGTTCAGCTGTGCTTAAAAGCAGAGCCGAAGATCTAAAGACTAGCTAGAAAGCAAGAAATCCAACCATTTCCTGCTTTCTAGCTAATCTAAATCTCCCGGCACAGCAGAACAGATGATGGTCGGAAAAAGGAAAAATAGCAATTTAGCAGGCAAGTTTGCCGAGTAAGGAGTGAGTGGGCAGGGAGGGTTCCCGTGGGCCATGTGGGCGGTGCAGCCTTGTGTTTCTGTGCAGCCTGGATTAATTGCTTTGGGGGCGTGCTCTGGGGGTGAGATTTCTCTGTGGCCCACCAAAATTTTCTCGCGGCCCACCAGTTAGCGACAGCTGCTTTAGCAGCAATCGGTTGTTCTTACTACTTGAGAACTGACTGTGTATCCCTCTCATTTATGTAGTGCTGTACATGTACTTCTGCTACTTTATTTATAAATTCAGTAGCATTATAAACATACAACAACAACAGATATCTAAAGGGCAGAAGCTATCTGAAATTAGCATTTGTCTTGGCTTCAGATCTAAGATATGGAGATAGGTTTGGGTGAATATAGACACTGATAAGGGAAAAGCTGTGTTTTCCTAAACTTGAGATAGGTATGCCCAGAATTTTGATGAATGAGGAGAAAAGGACTATAAAAACGGGTTTATAGGTTTATAAGGTTTAGATTGCAAAAGTCAACGTTCATATTAGCTGTAAATATTTTTTAATATGCATGGTAACCGCTGGACTGAAAAATATAAGCAACAAAATGAATTCATATCAGAATTAATTCAAGGTATGGCTAATTAGAGCAGAACAAAACAGTATAGGTAGTCCTTGACTTACAACCATTCATTTCGTGATCATTTGAATTTACAATGGTGTTGAAAAAAGTTATTTATGACTGTCTTTCACACAACTGTTGCAGCATACCCATGGTCACATGATCAGAATTTGGATGCTTGCCAACTGGTGTGTATTTATGACGGTTGCAGTGTCCCAGGGTCATGTTTGGCTACCTTCTGACAAGCAAAGTCAGTGGGGAGGCCAGATTCACTTAACAGACAAGTTATTAACAACTGCAGTGATTCACTTAACAACTGTGGCAAGAAAGATTGTAAAATTGGATAAAACTCTCTTGACAACTGTCTTGCTCAGCAATAGAAATTTTGGGCTCAATTATGGTTGTAAGTTGAAGAATACCTGTAATATAAAAGAAGGAAAAATTCTCTTGATTAATGCTTTCTTGTCAACAAGCCTTGTTTCAGGATGGTGAGGTGTTTTTTTTTAAAAAAAAAAATGTTTCAGTTTAAGCCTTGGAATTTTCTGATGATCTTCCATTTACTTCTAACTAGTCTCACTGCTTAGCTTTTAGGCTAGCTGGGTCTATCTGTTGCAGATGGAAATTAGTGCAGTAATTGTGTAAATGTAATGGAGGGGATAATTCCGGATGTTTCTTTGCATCAATATCACTAAAGCAGTTTCAGCATTCATCTCTAAGTTATACCCTTGTTTTATTTGGCAGGAACCGTTGGGGCTCAGCCCCTACTCATGGTGCCCCGACGACCTGGCTATGGCACCATGGGAAAACCTATTAAATTGCTGGCCAACTGCTTCCAAGTTGAAATCCCAAAGATTGATGTCTACCTCTATGAGGTGGATATTAAGCCAGATAAGTGTCCTAGGAGAGTGAACAGGTAAGTTATAATGGTTAATATTATTTTAGCTTACTAATATTGGTTAGATGGTGAAGTGAGATGCTTTGAATAGCTAGTGCTGGTCAGCGCTCTTGTTTGAGGAGAAAATGTTTCATTTGATAGTCTTTTTATTTTTTAAAAATAGCTGATGCTATGAGCATATTATTTATTCTTGGATTGAGGAGTAAATTTGTAACTCAAACATACATTGTTTTACATAGACATCCACATACCGGAAAGAAATTAAAATTCATTTGTAAAAATGGCATATGTCTTTAGCATTGGCAGAGCAAATAGAACATGGCAAAAGTAAGTAGCTTTTTTTGTTTTTAAGAGTCATTAGCACTTTAAGTAATTTGGGAGTAAGTACGATTCAAAATGAAATTGAACACAACTTTTTGAAAGTTAACATTCATCATGAATCTGGTTTAGTCTCTATAGATAGCATTCTTTTTTTATACTGAAATCATACTGTGGGCTTCCAAGAAAGGGCATGTTTTCATGGTAGTGCTATTAGAGCAACGTAAGTTAAAAAACAACAACAACCATAATTACTTTATTGGATGATTCTTATTTCTTGGTAGGATGGTAAACTTTTGTGTGTTGTTACTCACTAAAAATGCTTATTAGTGTATTAATCAGAACACAAAGTCAACCAGTTGCAGATTAGATTTGAATAGGCTGAAAACTCTGCTGGATCAGGCCCAGGGTATATCTAAACTGGCCTTCTGTTTCCACAGGGATCATAGAGATGCCTCTGAGAAGCCCAAAACAGAACATAAGAGAATAGTCACCTCAAAACCTCATTTTTCAACAACTGGCTTTGAGAGGCAAATTGCCACAGTTACTAGCAATACTATATAGCAATCATCTTGACTAAAGGTCATGGACTGCTTTGCATCCAATGAGACTGTACATATGAGTTCTATAATAGAAAATGTCAGTGTTCAACAATATACAGTTAAATAATCCCTGTCTTCAGTCAATTACCATTCTGCCTCATTGTACAACTTATTCTATTTTATACAAGAACTTTCCATTTATTTTCACCATGCTATCCATGATTCCAACCTGAGTATTTCCTGTACCAAAGAAAATCAAAACATGGGAATTGTTCCAACCAAAGAATATAATTTTTTGTTGTTCTTTTCTGCATCTTCTGCAATCTTAGTTTCATTTTAAGATGTAATAAACAAAATTAAGCACGGTATTCTATAAGCAATTTATATTTTATGAAACACTTCATTAGAATTAACTGGAAACTATACACATGGGCAACTTTTTCCATGTGTTAAAAGTTTTGAACTCATGGGTAAGAACTCTGTCTCTTGATCTGTAAATGGTGGAAATAGATAATTAACTCTAGCTTGACTTCAAGAAAATAGAATTTTGAAGTCCTCTGAATGGAACAGTTTTAATAACAGATGTGTATGTTGTTCTTCCTATTGAGGGTTTGTGTAATTTGTCCACTAGGCAAGTAATTTAATTTGGGTAAATTAAAAGGAATTCGAACTGTTTTTGGTTCTGCAATATCCATATGATGTGAAAACATGGTCTTGTAGCTGACTGATTTCATACTTGCTCAGGAGTTTCATCAGCTATTGTTTATATGCTATGCAGTAAGTATCAGTGACTAGGTTTTCCATAATGCTTTCTTTATTTTTGCTTAATATTTATCTGTGTTGTTTAAACACTCATCTTTAAGACATAATGAAAGTACGTTTTGCGATTTCAGTGAATTTAGCGTGTCAAAGAAAAATTGACAGACTTGTGTTTAGATATTAGAATCTTAGTCCATTGAAGCCTGTTAATTTTAAGTTTAATTTAAGTGTTGCTATATAATTATTGCAAAGAATATAATTTTAGTTATAAAAGGTAAGTATAGATAAGTAACATTTTAAAGTTTTATATAAAAGGGATTGCAATTTTAAGCTCTGTATTCTATATAGGTATGATATAAAATATTTATATTGTTAGGTTTATATTCACTTTCTATTCAAGACTGACCTCCCTCCCTCCATTTTTCCCATCACAGTTCTTGAGATTATACAACAGATTAATGATGTGTTTATCATATCTTGAGGTTTCAAGGTGAATAATATTAAACTCAAAAGCCTGTTTGCTGTTCCATTATAACTTAGAATTCCCTTTTCAAAAGCTGTAGACCAGTTATCTGTCATCGATACCTTAGGTTAAAACCTGGAGAGATTCAGAGAGCACTTAATCTCAAGTGATTTTGAAAAATAGTACAGTAATTACAAAAATTGGCATGAATCCATCACAAAGCCATCTACCTGTGTGTTAAAAAAATTATCACAGTAAGGTTTCTTCAGCTGTAGAACTAATTACCAAGATTGTTGGTGAGCTCCGCCTGGATAGCTTTTTGATAGGGATACTTTAATTTGAATTTCTGCTGTGAGCTAGAAGTTGGACTTTCCACCTTTCTCCAGAGTGTTGTCGACAGGATCCAGGCATGGGATATATTCAGCTGTGCTCGGCTATAGACTGAATAGAAAAACTGAAGGACCACCCCCCCTCCGGGCTACTGTCTCCAGTTCTTCTATTCAGTTGTGGCTGAACTAGACTGCCTTTTTGATAGCTCCCCTGTTTTTAATAAATAGAGGGACACTGTCAGGTTAAATTTCCTTGAATATATATTCCATCAACAGTCCTAAAGGGACTAGAGGCACGAGAGGCTCTAGTTTGCCTTCGTGCTTCCTTCGCGCAGGAAAAAGCGGAAAACGTTTGGAACGGCTGCAAAGCGAAGGACTTCGCATCTGTCATCCGGCTAGCGGGGCACCGGTTTTTCGGATTTTTCACAGTTCTGAAGATATCGCACCCAGCTCCTAGAGAAAGGTACTGGGGGCATCTAGTGCTGACCTGCCTGATAGGCAGCCTGCCTAATAAGGGAGTGTTGCCTAATCAAAGCAGCGGATCCCTGCGACAGTTCCCTGGCTTCACTGCCTGTCACAGGAGCGGCTAATTTTGATGGGAGCACCATTTTGAAGTGAAGAAGATTCAGAGTAACAGAAGCCAGAGCTAGACAATTTACAACACTGCAACCTGTTATTAATTTGACGCAATCCGTGGCTAGGAGGATTAAAATAGCCCTGTTATTGCCATTTATCTGCCTGGCTGGAAATTCAACATCAGTCTGTCAAGCAACTTTTAGAACAATCCGCTGGCCACAAACTTTTGAACAGCCCTGTGATTGTCTTTCTGTTGTGTTTCAACAGAGTCTCAGCCGTAGTGTGCAGCATTTGGCTTTCTCATTCATTCAGTGGCATCAGTGGTACGAGATATTTTTCAATATGGTCCAAAGGCAGTTAGATTTACCAGAATCTTGCCATTCTTTTATAACAGGGGTCTTCAAGCTTCTCCACTTTATGACTTGTGTGCTTCAACTCCCAGAAATCCCCAGGCTCAAGTCTTAAAGTGGTGAAGTTTGGAGACCCCTGCTTTAGAGTAGCTGTTAAACCTCAGAAGTCAAAATAGAATGTGCTCCATAAATGATGTGGCAGAACAGGAGTCTCCTAGAATCATCTTGAAGTATTTTAATAGCCAAATATGAATGGAACTAGTGGAATCCTATTACCTCATCCTAAAATGCAGTGTTTGATATAAATCTGAAAAGATGAACAGGTTCCCTGCTTCTCTTATATGTCTATTTATGATGTGCACCACCAAAGAGCTATTACTTTTGATCTCTCCCCTCCTCCATCTAATTCAAAAGTAGATTGAAGTGGGATCAAAACGCTAGCTTTATCTAGAAGTCTGATCTGTTTTGTTCTGGTGTGTTAGCCTCTTCCATCTCCATTGTGTGCTGATCAGATTGTTTAATTATTTTTATTGATGATATATTACAGCTTCACAAATGTAATTTAATAATTACATTTAATGTAAATAGCTTCTTTTATTTCTTCTCTCTGAATGCCATGCAATTTAAAGGTGCAAATATTTTTCCCCCTCTTTCATTTTCTTAGGGAGGTAGTAGATTCAATGGTGCAGCATTTTAAAGTGACGATATTTGGTGACCATAGACCAGTTTATGATGGTAAAAGAAGCCTTTATACAGCCAATCCACTCCCTGTAGCAACAACTGGGGTAAGATAGTTACATGGTTTCCTTATTTGTGGCAGATCTAAAGCTACAAGAAATTGCTTCAGTGTTATTTTCAATTGCTTGTTATATATTTCAGTTACTACCACATACATGGGGATTTTATTCATTGATTTAATTTGACATTGGTGATATATGTCAATAATTTGACTGACAACCAGCAATTTCAGCCACCAATTCAGTAAATTGATAACATTTTACAAACAAAAGCATAAAAAGGGTAAGTAACAATTAAAAATGAGGACAACAGAACTATTTTCAGAATATTACTAACTCATTTTAAAATATAAAAACTACATATTTAAAATTTTGCAAAGAAGCATAATCAAAAGAGAAAGAAAAAAAGAAAGTAAAAGAGAGAGAAATTAAGAAAGAAAGGCCTTTACTAGATATTAACACTCTCTGGATACTGAGAGTGACAGCAGAAGGATTTGAGAGTAGGGAAGAGGTAGACATAATGGGACTGTTGAACAAGTGGATTTTTCATCATCAGCATCATTTATAAGGCATAGAGCAGACAGGGTCAAGCCCAAGCCCAAAGACAACACAGTGAAATCAATTAAGTCCAGTCCTTTATTTGCTTGTACAGAATGGACAGAATTTGCCAGACTAAAGCTATAACCTTCTAACCTACTAGATATATCCAGAGAGATTCTAAGAGGTGGCTACCCTGAACCTCTTCCTTCCTTCCCCATCCAGCTAAAGGCTGCACAGTCTCTTTATTTTGGGCTTTTCTCTGAATGTGCTGGATGCTTGGTGTGACCAAGATCATGCCCCCCCACCCCCCTTCAGCTTCTCCAGGTGCACATTCCCTCACAGTGCAGTGTAGTGTAAAAATGTTTGATTTGAAGTGAGGAGACCCAGATTCTAGTCCATCTTCAACTAGAGAAGTTCACTAGGTGACTTCAGAGAGTTATTTTTTGTCAGCCCAACTGGTCTCATAGACCTGTTGTTCTGGGGGAAATAAGGAAGTACAACACAACCCAATTGAACTCCTGTTACAAAAGATAGGATCCAAATGAAATAAATAAATATATGTTGGACAGGCTCAAGGTGCCTTACATTAAAAACTCAGAGTGGTTAAAATGCAAAACATATAAAAATGAAATGATGCTGTGGGAAAGCAGATAGAATGCCACAAGGAAGGGCTACCCAGACCTCTTGGGGAATGATACTCCAGAAGTATCTATAGAGTTAAATTTTAGTACATAAAATCAGGATAGGCGTCATTGAGTCGTCAATCCTGGGAAAAGTGTACTTTTTGACATATCAAGCACGGACTGTATACATGTTTCTGTAAGAGATGCTGAGTTCTTAAGGTTTGCCAGTGAATGTAATTCTTAATTGCAGTGTGGATCCTGACATATCGGTATGGACATACACGGGTATTCCTTGTCTAATGACCTTAATTGGAACCAGAATTGAAGTGAAACAGTTGTTAAACAAAACACCATGTCACTGTGCCATTTAGTGACAGCAGTTCTGGCAGTCCTGATTGTGATTATTAGGCAAGGACCTCATACTTCTCCTGCTCTGCATGAATTGCCTCTGCTTCAAATTCCCCCACCCACCTACCTCCCACCATCTCTGCCCTTTTGACTGCCCTTCACTCCACTGCCTACCCCCACTGCACCCGGCTGACCTTCGCCAACATCTTTTTATTCCTGTTACTAAACAGGGATCCAGGAACTGGATAAAGGCATGGTCCCAGGATGCGTATGGCAGGATGGCAAAGCGTTGCCCAGGGCCTAGATCCCAGGCCAGCAATGGGGGTAGGCAGTAGGGATAGGCATCTAAGTACAGAACAGTCAAAGGGCAGAAATGGAGGGTGATAGGCATGTGGGGAAGTTAAGCACAGGCTGTTTGCAGAAGGCAGGATAATGCAAGGAAGCACCGAGGAGTCATTGCCCAAAGCCCCAACATCCAAATGTGCATTTTTGCTCCAAATTAATTATTTTAATCAGCAAATAGGAACAATATGGATGGTCTCTCTTGCTTTACAATATCTCCACAGGGGCAGGGAAACTTGGCTCTTTCATCACTTATGGACTTTAACTTCCAGAATTCCTGAATGAGCCATAAAAGGTTCCCCATCCCTGGCCTACTGGTTTTTCAGTTGTGGGGGAAAGCAATTTTTGACTTGAATGGGAGTTCTGGGAGTTGAAGTCCATAAGTGATAAAAGAGCCAAGTTTCCCTACCCTTTGGACCATCCTTCTGCATGCTGATCTCCCTTTAAAAGCACAGAATGTGAAATTATGAAATGCTGATGCATATTTCATCTACTATTTTGTGTGACTGCAAAATACTGGAAGGGATACTTTTGTCTGCTGATGTGCCAAGCCAGATTGTGACAATATTTTTCAGATGTTCTAACTTCATAATGGTTTGTACTCTTATTGTAGTCTTAAGTAATCTTTTAAAACAGCTTTCTCAGGCTACAATGCAAAATTTGAAGAAAACCACCATGGGGCATAGTTTATTTATTTAGTAGATTTTTGAAGCTACCCTGCTCAGTGTGATTCTAGGTAATGTATAATAACAAAGAAAATTAACCCCCTCCCCAGTTGCTCCAGAGAATAGGAGCAGCTGTTGAAAAGGCTTTAAATTTCTATTTAGCACCTGTAGCAATAGGCTCCCCCTAAGAACAGTTCTAAATCTGTATTATGAATGGTTTGATATTTATTTATTTAGCAAATTTATATAGCTGCCCATCTTACAAACATGACTCTGGATGGTGTGCAATAAAACAGACAGTTAAAAATATAAATGACTATCAAAAACAAATTAATTAAACTTAATAATAAACATAAATAAAACTGCTAGGGATACCACAATTCTACCTTACCTAAACCTATACAATCTTTTCAGCATTTGCCATAGTAAACGAGGCTACCTTTTTGTAAGGATTTCAAGGTCAATGATGTGCAAATACAGATATATTTGAATTTGTTTTCAAATATGGTGAGTTTACAGTTTAAAAGCGGAATGCTTGGTTACAATAGGATTCCAGATTCCTATCTAAAGTTCAACATGGTGTTTTAAATATTTCCTTTCCATATTTGAATTTAACTTGCTGCAATTTTCTTGTCTTTAATATATTGTCTGGAATTTCTTCCCTGAATAGCCATAGATTTAACAGCGAGGGAATTAAAGCTGCTTTAAATCACGTAATTGAAATTTATTAGCAAAGAAATGAAATTAAAATTTGTATGCAATTTTCTTGAGTTTTCACACTGAGCTTGAAAATTTTCTTTACTTCCTCTCCATGGCTTTTTCTCTCAATAGGTTGATTTGGATGTAACATTGCCAGGAGAAGGTGGCAAAGATCGTCCCTTCAAGGTGTCTATAAAATTTGTTTCCCGGGTAAGCTGGCACCTGTTGCATGAAGTTCTGACTGGACGAACCTTACCTGAGCCTCTGGAATTGGACAAGCCAATCAGCACTAACCCTGTTCATGCTGTTGATGTGGTGCTACGACATTTACCCTCCATGAAGTAGGTTTCCTAATGTGCTCTGTGCCATTTATTTCCAGAGTTATTTTTTGTGGAGTTTTGCTTTTAGGGTTGCATGAAAAAGTTTGGGGGATGAGGAGAGCGTGCATTTTGCATTAGGAAGATCATTGATAGTTTCTCAGTTCTGTTTGTTGAGCAAATTAGTTCTGGTAGAAATGAAGAGGAAAATTCTTGAATAATTGGTAAGTTTTTCCACAAGGATGTAATTAAGTGAAGACCAAGGGCAATGGGAGACTTGTGAATTTGACAAGTGACAGACAATCAAACGAAGTGACAGACACTAAAGCAAGAGAAATGCCAGCTGTGCTGCTTGTCTTGAAAATTAGGGCTGTATATCTTGGAATTACAAAACTGTATTTTAAAAGCATTTTTATATGAAGATATACTTTCAGCAAGTAGCTGTTTATAATGTGAATTGGTCTTTGAAAGTTGAAAATTTGAAAAGAAATCCATTTTATACACTTACCTGTTTAATTTCAGTTCAGTGCCTTCAAGGTTAAATGTTCTACAAACCTGGTTTTCAGGACTCCAACATTCCCTTCCCCCAAAAAGGAGACAGCCCCTTGTAGGTGGGGAATTTTGAGAGAAAAGTAAAACTCCAGATTGAGTGGTACTGGGAAAGGTGAGGTGTGAAGTGCTCTTTAAAAAAAAAAATCATATGTGATGAATTCATTAGATAATTCAAGCAAACTATTTCCTCTTAGAATGTTCTCTTTCTCGGGTTTGGAAAAAAAATAGACAATAAATACCAGGTAATAAATCATTTGTGTAGACTGAAGGTGCTAAATCCAGCTTGTAATGTAATTGTTAAGTGATTTTTACTATAGTTTTTCCAACTATAGTAAAAATGAGCATGACTCACTTAACAATTACATTGCTTGGTGATGAACATTCTGATTCCAGTTGTGGTCATAACTCAAGAACTATCTATAATGTCTTTATTTTATTTTTATTATTTATTGTTTTTTTTATTATGAACCACCAGGCATTCATGTAGTTTATGATGACCTGTGAAATAGATCAATAAAAACTTGGTTCCTTCTCTACATAGGTATACACCTGTAGGCCGTTCCTTTTTTTCTGCTCCTGAAGGCTATGATCATCCATTGGGAGGTGGCAGGGAAGTCTGGTTTGGATTTCATCAGTCTGTTCGGCCAGCAATGTGGAAAATGATGCTGAATATAGATGGTAACCACCAGTTCTGTTTTGAGAAATGGCAGGAGGGGATTTATAAAAGATTGATGTTGTACATGGATATGAAAATGCGTTTATGAAGGCTTAATATGTATACACATAGACAATTCATTTTCATGTTTTGTAAGGAAAAGTCCTTCTGTTTTACAAATCTCAGTTTCCTTGTATAAATTCCCCATCCTGGCTTGGGGATTCTGGGATTGAAGTCCACAAATCTTCAAGTTTCCAAGCTTGAAAAACACGGAATTAGGGAAACAAAATAAATACTATTTTGTTCTGATAGGAATAACAGGTGTGCGTTTGTCAAAAGAAATTGTAACTGGAGGTAAATAAGAATTTATGTTGCAATTCTGCAACATATTTTCATGCTTGAACAGTTTGCTTGATTTTTTCCCTCTGAATTAACCCATGGGAAAAATAAACTGCAGCTACACTTCAATAGTGTAAATTTTTATTCTGATTCTCCTGCCTGTACATTGCCCTTGTTGACGCCAGGCAAGATCCTAGCAGGAGTTCTAGACCACTCAGAAGGCTGGCATCGGGATGTTTTGGCTTCTGGTGGTTCTGGTTCCGTGCTAAACTATGGTTAGATCATTTTAAAAAGTATTCTATTTTCTAATAAACTTGTTCTCTCAGACAACACAAAGGCCAATCAGTCTTTAAATTGCTCTCTCCGGAGGAAAACTTTTAACATTACTCCAAAATTTAAAATTCCTGTGGAAATAGTTTTTATTGATTGCTTGTGTTTATGTCTAACCTTACCAGCAAAACTACAAGGCAAGCTATGTGATACCCCTTTCCCCAGTATTGGCCTTAGGCTTGGGGTTGATCTTTGCCATTGTTTAATGGTCCTTTGTGGATTTTGTTAGCAGACTATTTTAGCCTGGGTTGCTGTTGATTTAATATTTTTAATTCTGCAGCCAAACAGAGTCCACTGGAGTCAATACATTTAAATAAATAATTTTCATAACATCTTGTGAAGGAAGAAAGGCTCAGATATAGCAACTAGTCAAACATTTGCCATGTTGCTCCATGATTAAGTAGGAGCTGAGTATATGATTTTGTATTTCCAATATTAAGCACAAGCATTTGCTGAGATTCCATATTAAATTAATTCTATTTATTTAGAAATTTTGTGAAAACAAAATCCATTTAAATCAGTTGAAGATTACTGTAAAGCATAAAATTATTTCAGCTAGCCTGAAATACAGATACTTGGTGGTCCTCAACTTCTGACTGGTTTCTTTGTGGCAAGTTATGATGGACTCCCAAAAATCTGTTTATGATTCAGTTTCAAAGTTAAGATGACACATACCCTTGCAGACACATGATTACAGTTTGAGCGCTCGGCAGTTGACTTTCCATTACGGTTATTTGCAGCGCCCCAGTTATCCAAATGCAATTTTTGGTGTTTTTTGCTGGTTTCTGGCCTTTACTTTTGGTTTCCGGGAAAAACTGACCATTGAATAAAATGGATTCATAAAATGTCTGCTGTGTTTGCTTAATGATCACAGCAAAAAAATGTCATAAAATTGGGTCAGGTCATGTGACTTGCTTAACAACTACAGTGACTTATGGCCATAATTCTAGGCTCAACTTGAGGAGTATTAAAATGCTTTGGTCCAAAAATTGGAGCTGAAAAGAATGCAGGGTGTACAGTCAAATATTTTGTGTGTGCTGTTAATAAGAGAATGAGGAATCAGCTTAGTACCGGAAAAGTCAATATTTATTCATGACATAATTGAAGTGTGGGGTTTGCCACATTAGATATAAGACAAGTTTCCAACTTAGTGATTATGTCAGTGAAGGGAACTGTTTAAGTGGCATATCAGTCTTGTTTATAATCATTCTCTCATAGCCAAACATATTCAAAATTCTCAGTGTTGTAGGTTTGCCCTTTCCAATGTCATGTTTTCAACTGCCTCTTGTCTCGATACCAGCCTCTGAATCAGAATAAATCAGAGGAGAAACAAAGAACCCCTGGACATTGGAGGAGGGGAGCAGCGTGAGTCTGTCAGGAAGAGTCTGATAGCACCTTTTCTGACTAACAGATTTTATTAAAAAGCAGGAGCTTTTGTGAACTGCAACTCACGAAATCTTAAGCCTTTTAATAAAATGCATTAATCAGAAAAGGTGTTACCAGACTGCTTCTAAAGAATCCCTGGGATAAAAGGTAAACTGTCCAGTTGATGAGACAAGGAATAATGGATGGAAACTGATCGAGGAGAGATTCAACCTAGAAATAAGGAGAAATTTTCTGACCGTGAATCAACCCAATGGAACAGAAGTTGCCTTCAGAAGTTGTAGGAGCTTCATCACTGGAGGCTTTCAAGAAGAGACTGGATTGCAATCTGTCAGAAATGGTGTAGGATCTCCTGCTAGGGCAGTGGGTTGGACTAGATGACCTACAACTTCCAACTCTGTTAATCTGTTAATCTTAGGTAGTGATTGTGTGACAGCTTTGAAGACCATTTATTTCCTTTTTATTTTTCCCCTTAGTTTCTGCCACTGCCTTCTACAAAGCACAACCTGTAATTCAGTTCATGTGTGAAGTTCTTGATATACACAACATTGATGAACAGCCACGACCTCTGACTGATTCTCACCGTGTAAAATTCACCAAAGAGATAAAGGGTGAGTTTAAAAAATGTAGCATTTAATCCACACAGTGCTAATCTTACTGCTTTAGGAGGTGCTAGCTTAGATCTCAGACATCTATATTCACCAAAAACACAATGGTGCATTATCTTTGCTGCCACATAGTGACTTATTAGCGTGGCATCTATGTGATGGGCAATGGATTTGTATTTTTGAAAATGTATCCTCTCCCAATAAACAATGAAAGGATTTTTTTCCAGCTGTCTGTGCTGTAGAGATTTCAGTCTGCGTTGCCAGAAAGGCTCCATTGCCAGAATTGTGTGCTGCTTCTTTATCTCTTGCCTTCTAACCACACTGTGCATCATCTCTGATTGACTTTTACTACTGTATTCTTTCAGCTGCTACAGTGCAGCTTCCTGACAAAACTAGGTTGGTTATATGCCAACCAATCGGTTACCTTACAAATGCACCAAGTGTAAGACATGGGGAGCATCGGATTATAGTTATGTTCAAATAGTACTGTTTGAGATATTTCTACTCGTAAACTGATAGCAAACAACACTCCTAACTAGCCCTGATGATGTTACCTTGTTGGGGTAATGAAATGTCTGCAAGAAAACAAGCAAGCTCAGACAGCACCAAGGACTCCCCATTGGTATTTCGACTGGTTTCATTTGCTACTTACTTCAGTTAGTATCAAAATATTGGTTCTTGCGTGCTATACAGGTAGTCCTCGACTTACAGCTGATCGCTTAACAGTTCCAAAACTCCAGTGCTACCCCCTCTGGGGTTATGTGACTGGATTTTGGGCATTTGGCAACTGCCCTGCATTTATGGCCATTTATAGCATCCAATGGTCACATGACAATTTAGGATGTTTCTGCCAAAAATTAGTATTTACTTCTGTTTTTTCGCAAACCCTGACCCAGAGTGAACAGTGGGTTTGTTTAACAACTGCCAGGTTCACTTAACAACCACAACAACAACAAAAATGTAAAATCAAATTGGTCATGCGATAGCTAGATTTACAACCATTATGACTTGCAACTGTAATTGCCAGGTTTAGTTACGGTCATAACTTGAGGATTACCTGCCATGGTTAAGATATTAGACTGGGATCCAGGTTCATATCCAATATCATGGAAGCACATTGGATGACTTTGGCCAAGTTATTCTCCTCATGCCAACCAACTTTATTAGACATTGTTGTTTGAAAAATTGGGGTGGGGGGTGGGGATATCATGTATACAATCTTGAGCTCCTGGAGAAAAGGCAAGAATTACCGGTACAAACAAACAAACAAATAAATAAATAGCCATATTTGAATTGGAAGAAAGACACCCCTTGTGACGATACCTGAAGCTACTTTGCCTATTTTAAATAGAATAGAATACTTTATTGGCCAAGTGTGATTGGACACACAAGGAATTTGTCTTGGTGTAAATACTCTCAATATACATAAAGAAAAGGTACATTCGTTAAGAATCATAACGTACAACACTTAATGATAGTCATAGGGTACAATCAACAATCAAATCATACTAGGAAACAGTAAAGTGGGAGGGGGTGGGTGATAAGGAATGGTGAGAAGATTAACAGTAATAGTAGTGTACACTTTGTAAATAGTTGAACAGTGTTGAGGGAATTATTGTTTAGCAGAGTGATGGCTTTTGGGGAAAAGCTGTTCTTGTGTCTAGTTGTTCTGGTGTTCAGAGCTCTATAGCGTCGTTTTGAGGGAAGGAGTTGAAACAGTTTATGTCCAGGATGTGAGAGGTCTGTATATGTTCACAGCCCTCTTTTTGACTCATACAGTATACAGGTCCTCAAATCAAAGGAGGCATATGCATATTTTAAATTAGCAGTACTGCAAAAGTAGCTTCCCCATTTTTTTTTCCAAAGAAGGGAAAGGGAGACATGTTCTTTTGATATGTGTCACTGCTTCAGACAAAGCAGGTTTGCTGATTAGCCTCCATTTCAGTTCTAATTATCGGGGCTATGCAGTAGCATTCAGAGTAGCAGCTGTGGTTTCTTTATGGCAAGCATCAGCAGTGTTTTTCCTGGGCAGTATGCCATGGTGTGATCTTGCACGAAGAGGGATGGGGTGGGGGGAAGTAAAAGGCCCCAAATGTTGCAAATCCAAAAAAAAATCTTACATGTTTGATAGTGCACCTCCTTTCCAAGGTCTTGCATGTTTTACTTGAAATCTTGCAAAACTGTAGCCTTTTAAAAGATATGAATCCACTTGGCTGGTGTGGATGCTGTCTGGGCCATTTCTGCTCTATGAGAAGAGGAAACACAAATACGGATTCTTTGAATTGGATCAGGTTTGCTGTTTCATTTCCTTGTAGCCTTCACAGGCTATGACTTCCTTCCACACTAGAAATGGACAGACTTTTGAGAAGGAAGGAAGTCCTTGTTCTCTCCAATGTTCACTCATACTCATTTTCATTAAAAAATATATGAACGTTCACAAAATAGGGAAAAAGACACTCTCAACGAAACATGGTTGTCTCCCAAAAGTTGTATTCCTTGCACAAAGGAGCTAACAGGATGCACGTGTTTGGCTTGATTTTTTTTTGGCGGGGGGGGGGGGGGGGGGTTTTGGGGTTTTTTTTTGGGGGGGGGGGGGGGGGGGGGGGAGTTTTAGAGCTTTATTTTCCCAGATACAGTGAGCAGGAAGGAAGCATCAACAGGGAAAAAATCCTTCAGGTGCTGTCTGTATTCTTTGTGGTGGGAGAAAGAAAATGCCATTCTCCAATGAGTTGCTCCGAGCATCCAGAAGTGGGAGGTGCTTAGTCTCTGCTAGGATAGGCTGGGTTTAATTGATAGGATGCGCCTACTCCTCCTCGGGCTCCTCCCTAGCGTCCCCCAGTTTTAGCTCAGCTTTTGGTGCGATAGGCAGCTTATCCTTGGCCGGAGCAGGAACACTTTGAGGTTTGGATAGTTTTAAAACGAACCAGCTTTCTAAATTTTCTCTTTCCTCCAAGCTCCGACTGCAATTAGAGAGGAAGCAGTCGGAATGAATAGCAGATTGTCTTTGGCGATCCGACCGCATTCGCAACCACAACACTCATAGCCTCGCTACCGTAACAGCAGTCATGCCTCCTTAAGAGAACGCGGCTTTCCCTTCTTTTGCCAAATGCTTCTGTCCTTGCCATTGTGATTCGATTTTTGCGCTGTTCAAAGACAGCGCGCTTTTCTCTCTCATTCCTTCGCCAGTGGCGATTCCTCCCCTCGGAGAACACAGGGGTGGGGCGTCGGAGCCCTTATTCTCCCCTCCTCACCGCTCAATCACAGAGTAGCCGTTTCTTTTCAGTTGATTGGGTGGCAAAGGTTACTGCTGTGTTGGCGCCAAACTACGGCCACCACCTTCTTAAACTGGGGCCCGGTGGCCATTTTAGCGCACAATCTAACGGACACTGCCATTATCACGTTGCATCGTGTGGACTTTCATGGCGACCTTCATGCCAACAGCGGCTGGCCTACGCCAGGAGGAGTTCCTGCCAGGCGAGGTTCCAGAAACAATGAAAGCATGGATGGAGTTGGCGATCCACAGAGGAATCGCAGCGGGGTTGCAACAATCCATGATGGCCAGACAGATCCCAGTGTCGGAATGCGACTCACAGTCAGTAAGATCTCTATGTAGAACTGACCTGCGTTACCCTCAGGTACCTCCTCAAGGGGAGCTCTCTATGATTTTCCACATGTATTCACATGATTTACAGGAGGAGGGAGAAGGAGAGGACCAAATGGAGCAAGTAGACGCAGTATCAGTTCATGATAGTGAAGTCCTATTGGAGGCGGACCCCCTAGAAAGAGGCATGTCAGATGATGAGAGCATCATGCCTGACCATCCTACCTTTACGGGGCTGTTCTGTCCACAGCTTTTCAAATCCCTCCTCTTCAAGGCAAAAAACCACAGCTTGCCTTGAAAAATCTCCCTCTGTTTAACAACCAGAATCTCAAGTAGAATCAGAGGATTTGATTTTCTCACAGCCCATTAACGAAGCTGACGTTATCCCAGTCCCGCAAATGTTTTCAGATCTGGTCCAGAAACAGTGGGCTTCAGCATCAGGGTAGCCGGCCCCCACAAGTTTTGATAAGAAATTCTTTAATTTAGCTTCAGAATTTTCTAATTCCCTGAATACCCCTGAAGTAGATGAGCCAGTGGTGGCCTTGGCATCCTCCTCCGCTATTCCCACCGAAGCAGAGGAGGCCCTTAAGCCAGAGGAGAAGAAAGCCGAGATAGCACTCCGAAAGGCACATCGGTCCAATGCGTGGGCCATAAGGGCGGCGACAGCCGCATCCTTCTTCACTAGGTCTTCCCTCAGATGGCTCCGTCACCTGAGGGACACCATACCAAATTCTAATATCAGGGCACATCAGGACATCACCAAACTGATTGCAGCTGCAGAGTTCTCTGCGGATGCTACATTCAATTCGGTCATATTTTCAGCGTGAGCCATGGCATCGCAGGTTACAGCCCGCCGATTGCTGTGGCTTAGGCATTGGCAAGCTGATACCCAACACAAATGGAAGCTGGCCTCTTCCCCAATTTCAGGTGATAAATTGTTTGGCACTGCCCTGGATCTGCTTCTAATTGAGACCAGAAGCAAGAAGAAGATTCTCCCCTCCCTCCTTCGTCACTCAGACAACAGAAATTATTAGTTTGGTTTAGTTTACTTTATTGTCATTGCACCTCATACAACGAAATCAAACACCATCTATCAGCCCTTTTGGAGAGGTTCCTTTCGCCCCTATTATCAAGGTCCATTCTCTCCTAGATTCCAGAGAGTATCGGGATATAGGGGCGCTCAACAGTCTGATAGATCGGAATTTGCTGACAGAACTCGCAGGGGAGGACAAGGGAAAAGACCTTTTAGGGGAACAGGAAACAGAGGTTTCCGTCGTCTAAAATAAATCCAGGGATTATGCTCCCATTGGAGGACGATTAAGGCTCTTTGCAGACCGTTGGGACTCCTCTACATTGGATTCCTGGGTTTGCGACACCATTCAGATTTGGCCTGGCTCTAGAATTCCAATCCACACCCCCAAACTTTTTCATGAAATGCCCTCTCTCTCCAGAGACCCTGTTAAAAGGAACCTGATGGAGACAGTGATCAGTCACTTACTGGAAATACTCACAGCTCTCATGAAGGGCCCCTTTGAACCACTGAAAACTACCAGTCTCCATTTTCTCACATACAAGGTAGTTTTCCTAGTAGCAATAACATCAGCACGACGTATCTCAGAAATAGCGGTTCTATTGGCCCGACAAGACCTTTATATTTTTCATGCTGACAGAGTGGTTCTTCGACCAGACCCCACATTCATACCGAAAGTCAATTCTGCCTTCCACAGGGCACAAGAACTTGTTCTCCTGAACTTTTGCCCGAGGCCTTCTCAGGGACTAGAACATCAATGGCATCGATTGGATGTCCGCAGAGCTCTCCGTACGTACTTACATTGAACGGCTCCTTCTCGGAAGACTGAAGCCCTTTTTGTATCCTTTCAGCCAACCACTCAGGGACACAAGGTCTCACCTCCTACTATAGGCATGTGGCTGAAAGCCGCAATAGCCAAGGAGTACAAGACTCAATCATTACCAGTGCCTAGGGGCATAACAGCGCATTCAACCAGGAGTGCCGCAACTTAAGTGGCTTGGGCTACTCAAGCTCCTATAGCAAAAATATGTCGAGCGGCAACATGGGTTTCCCCATCGCCTTTCATTAGGCATTACAAAATTGATGTTTTTGCCTCTGCTGAAGTCTCCTTTGGTAGGAGGGCTTTGCAACGTGTCCACTCGGACAATGGGGGTGCTCCAACCCAGGTGGAGACCCTCCCGTAGGACAAGCCAAGCTTTGGTATGTCCCACTCTCTGGATGCTCGGAGCAGCTCATTGGAGAAAGGGCGTTGGTACTTACCTGATACGCCCGTTCTCTGTGAGCTGCGACAATCATCCAACCCCACCCAATTTCCGTCTGGTGGGATCCTGTTCCGGCCAATGACTAATCTGGAGATATGTAAAAAAGAGAGAGAGAGAGGGCGAGGGTTGCATCACTTGGTCTTCACCAAAACTGGGGGACGCTAGGGAGGAGCCCGGGGAGGAGGAGGAGCATCCTATCAATTAAGCCCAGCCTATCTGAGCAGAGACTAAGCACCTCCCACTTCTGGATGCTCGTCGCAGCTCACAGAGAACGGCCGTATCTGGTAAGTACCAACGCCCTTTTTCTGACATCCAAATCAACTTGTTTTCATAGCCCACTGGGTTTTCCTATATAACAGAGCCTTTCGCTGGGTCACCTTTTGGAAAAATTCAAGCTAACCCATTAACATTCATGAAATTGGTTTTTGGATTTGGCATGCTTAGAAAAGATACATTTAAACTGCTGTTGATCAGGTTAACTGTCTCCCCCTTTATTGGAAACCCAGAGGCCCTCCAAAATTGGGCCATTGAAATTTAGAAACCACCAAATAGTGGCACAGTTTTCATTTCTAATATAAGAGGAATAACAGTAGTGTTTTAAACCTTTGGATTAATCCTTTGGATTAACACATCAGTCATCACAGCAGTAGCATAGCAATCCCATAAAATTAAGAGAAAAGAGGAAGAACCATCATTCTATTTCATTTTGGTGACATCAGCTCTTGAGGTTGAAAAAAATATACAAAAGGGAAATTTTAAAAAAGAAATAAAGCACCACTGTAAAATATCGCCTAGTCCTGTTTTGTGGGAAGGCTTAGGGGCCACAAATCTGTGGGATACATTAGGAATGTCTAAACATTCTTATTTTTTTCTTCCAATGGTATATGTAGAAATTATAGCAAATCTTATGGAAGGAAGGGATGAATAAGTTCTGTTACAAAACATCTTATGTGTATACAGGCATTCTCTGACGTCTGTATTTTCTTTATCTTTTTTTATCCAGGTCTGAAGGTTGAAGTGACTCATTGTGGAACGATGAGGCGGAAATACCGTGTCTGTAATGTTACACGGAGACCTGCTAGTCATCAGACGTAAGTACATGGCTAAACTACACAGTTAACATATGTGGCTACAAGATAATATACAGGTCATTCTTGATTTATAATTCCAGCTGGGACCAAAATTTTAGTTGCTAAACAATGCAATTGTTAAGCAAATGCTCATGACTAGGCCCAGTTTTGCAACCATTTTTACCATGGGCATTAAATGAATCCCTTTTTCCAAGATCGTTATAATTTCAAACCATCATTAAATGTACAGTTGTCATTCAAGGACTACCTGTATATAATACAGGAGGAAAAAGATACATAGATTCACAGACTTGTGCAAATTAACTGTTCTTTCAATTCCGCTTTCCAGATTTCCATTGCAGTTAGAAAACGGTCAGACTGTAGAGAGAACAGTAGCACAGTATTTCAGAGAAAAGTACAACCTACAGCTGAAATACCCTCATCTTCCTTGTCTACAAGTGGGACAGGAGCAGAAACACACCTATCTGCCTCTTGAAGTAATGTATTTAATATCACAATCTCTGAAACATTTGAAGACCTCAGAATTTTCATTTGCAGATTTGAAAGTTAATTTTTTTTCAATGATGCATATATTTAGTACATGTGATCCTATGAACTAAAGATAACCATGAGTCTAAATCACTCTTTGCTCATGAAACTTTATGTTCTAATGTATTTGTTAGGTTTGTAAAGAGTCACTATTCTTTGGCGCAGTGTAAAGCTGAAAAACACTGGCTGTAGAAGCTTTCAGGTTTTATTTTAAAAAAAAGTATAATAGTATCTTACCACTTAAAGACCTGAAAGACCAAATAGGGATTAATCATCCTGGAGGAAAATCTATATGGTTGGTAAGGATTGATCCATGCCTAATGGCACTAAATCAATTAAACAATACTATCCAGCCAATTCACAAAAGTATATTGATGCAGAATATGCTTCTCAAACCTGGGTGACCTTCGGTTCCCAGACTTCTCAGCCCAGGTCTTCATATCCCCTGGGAAATTCTGGCAGTTAAATATACATCTGCAGAATTCCATTTGGACAACATTATCACAGCAAGTTATTTGGGTGGAAGTGGAGTTTCACCTCTTATATAAGACACATTGCATGCTGCTCACAATTTTACAGCTCCATCATTTGTTCATTGGTTATAATAAGATTAACATATAATATTTTTGCAGGTGTGTAACATCGTGGCAGGCCAGCGATGTATTAAGAAGCTTACAGACAATCAAACATCAACAATGATAAAAGCAACAGCCAGATCTGCACCTGACAGACAAGAAGAAATCAGCAGACTGGTTAGTTTGCCTGTGAATTAGAAAAATAGATAAAGCCAGCTGGAGGGGTCATTGAGGATCCAGTGTACTTGTTCCTGTTTGGGTCCTCATATCCCAAATGTCTCCTCTCTTTTTTAATCATACCAGTTTATTATTGTGTAAGCATTGACGCTAGCTATTGTATTATCACATTATCCCCTTTTTAATCTCCTCTTTTCTTCAGGTGCGAAGTGCAAATTACGATGCTGACCCTTTTGTTCAGGAATTCCAGTTTAAAGTGCGTGATGAGATGGCTCATGTGACGGGGCGTGTGCTCCCAGCTCCCATGTTGCAGTATGGAGGGCGGGTAAGAAACTCTTCTCTGGATTTATTCTTATATAATTGGATTTGTAGTTTTGGACTCTCTTGGTTAGTGATTTCATTTCCCTGTCTAGGTATATGCATCTATGATATGACATCTAATGCTCATTGTGTAAACTGCAAGCATATTGATATTTCTGTTTGTTTATTTAGAATCGAACAGTGGCAACACCAAGCCATGGTGTATGGGATATGCGGGGGAAACAGTTTCACACAGGTGTGGAAATCAAGATGTGGGCCATTGCTTGCTTTGCAACACAGAGGCAGTGTCGCGAAGAAATACTAAAGTAAGCCTATTCAAGATATGAGTTGCTTCCCTTTGGCCTTACATAGATGTATTTTGATAGCAAGGCTACATCACTGATTCTCTGCTTTTTGGTTTATCCTTGATCTCTAAAAATACTTTGCTGTTCAAAAAAAAAGTGACTGATTATGTGCCATCAAGTTATGTTTGATTCCTAGTGACCACATAGATAGATTTTCTCAATTTTCAGTGTTTTTATAGATGTTGTAATATTGCTTCTCATCTTTTTAAACAGCTCTCTAATACTCAAAAGTTTTTCCCCCTGAATTTTTAATCTTTCTGGGTTGGCTTCTCTTGGCAATTCCTGCACTTCATTCTGACATTCAGTTTGCTGTCTTCTGTTTCTCCATGTTTGGCAATAGCTTTTCACATTCATTCATAACAATTTCCTTCAGTCCATTCCTCAGTATATCTGGTTCTCTTGTCAGTCAGGCTTGAGAATCCAACGTGTCCTCCTTAAAAATGGTGGGTATATGCTAAAAAACCCATTGAGTAACCTAGTTGGTTTTCTTCTTTAGCTTAATCTAGAACTTGCACATGAGCCGTTCATGATCTTGTTCCACAGTCAGCACCCGGCCATGCCTTTGATCCTATAATTGATATGCTCCACCTCTTTTTTAACAATAATATAGTCAATTTGATTTCTTTGTTCTCCGTCTGGTGATGTCCATGTATGTAGACATTGTTTTGGTTGTTTTGAAAATAGTGTAAGCTATGAAGTATTCATGGAAGTTGAGGGAATTGATGTCAGTCCTCTGCTTCGTTTCAGTTTCCTAAACCATATAATCCATCTGCATTTTCCTTCTTAATACTTTAAAATCTCTCATTTCAGTCTAATAAAAAAACCATAACAGTATATAATTATAATGTTATAATTAATATTCTTGTTATTCAGGATTACATTAGGTGGTTAATACTAGCCTGTGATTATCATCTTTGGCTTCAAAACTTGCTGAAACTCATTCTCGTTAGTACAGATAGTGTTCAACTTATGACCACAAGCCCAACGTTTCTAAGTTGCTTAGTGAGACATATGTTAAGTGAGTTTTGCTCCATTTTACGACCTTGATACATTTGTTAAGTGAATCACTGCAAATGTCAATTTAGTAACACAGTTGTTAAAGTGAATCTGGCTTCCCATTGACTTTGCTTGTTAGAAGGTTGCAGAAGTTGATCACATGACCTCAGGATGCTGCAACTGTCATAAATATGGCTCCGTTGCAAAGCATCTGAATTTTGATCATGTAACAATGGAGATGCTGCAATAATTGTGTGAAAAATGGTCATCCGTCACTTTTTTCAGTACTGTTGTAACTTTGTCACAAAATGAATGGTTGTAAGTCAAGGACTACCTGTATTAATGATAATAGCCTTCAGCTCTGGTTGTCACTCTCTGAACACTATCTAAATGAGCCATTAACTCTCACTTTTAGAGCAAAGGGGAACAAACATGAATAACCTCTTTTCTCCTTTCATCCAGTTTTTATTTGTTTTTTTATTTTATTTGTTGCCAGGGGTTTCACGGACCAGCTGCGCAAAATTTCTAAGGATGCAGGGATGCCAATCCAGGGCCAGCCTTGCTTCTGTAAATATGCCCAAGGTGCTGACAGTGTGGAGCCCATGTTCCGACACCTTAAAAACACATATTCAGGACTCCAGCTCATCATCGTCATCTTGCCCGGAAAGACCCCAGTGTATGGTAAATAAATATCCAAATGCTTTGTATGAATTCTGCTTGTTTTGAATTGCCTTAAGAAGACTTGAGAACAAAAGTAAATAATCTTAAAGCAATAGATTCTGTATGAAGCTAAGGTTGAGGACACAGCAAATCAGGTAACAATAGAAATGCCAGCTTTTCATGTTTCTTGTTACATTATGGGAGCTGAGAAGAGGATGGGCTTTGGGATAAAGTTCTTCAGGAAGTCAGTGAAATACAGGTGAAACTCGAAAAATTAGAATATCGTGCAAAAGTTCATTTATTTCAGTAATGCAGCTTAAAAGGTGAAACTAATATAGGAGATAGACTCATTACATGCAAAGCAAGATAGTTCAAGCCGTGATGTGTCGTAATTGAGATGATTATGGCTTACAGCTCATGAAAACCCCAAATCTACAATCTCAGAAAATTAGAATATTACATGCAATCAATAAAACAAGGATTGTACATAGAACAATATCGGATCTCTGAAAAGTATAAGCATGCATATGTATTCAGTACTTGGTTTGGGCCCCTTTTGCAGCAATTACTGCCTCAATGCGGCGTGGCATGGAAGCTATCAGCCTGTGGCCCTGCTGAGGTGTTATGGAAGACCAGGATGCTTCAATAGGGGCCTTCAGCTCTTCTGCATTCTTCGGTCTCATGTCTCTCATCTTTCTCTTGGCAATGCCCCATAGATTCTCTATGGGGTTCAGGTCAGGCGAGTTTGCTGGCCAATCAAGCACAGTAATCCCATAGTCATTGAACCAGGTTTTGGTGCTTTTGGCAGTGTGGGCAGGTGCCAAGTCCTGCTGGAAAATGAAGTCAGCATCCCCATGAAGCTCGTCTGCAGAAGGAAGCATGAAGTACTCCAAAATCTCCTGGTAGACGGCTGCGTTGACTCTGGACTTAATGAAGCACAGTAACCAATGTTATGATATGTACAGAATAACCCTTGAGTAACAAGGACATGCACATGGAAACGTTTATGAGAGTAGTTATGAATAATTATTCAGCCACACACAAATACACTAAATTGAGTTAGTTTACTTTAAGAAATATAGCACAGTCCAATAAATGATCCAGGTCCTATACGTTTATCAGTCCAAAAAATATCCAATTACAAAGTCTTCTTACTGGTTGCCTTTGTCATTTACAGTAAACAAAAATATCAAAGTATAAGCACAGTATAAATACAACAGAGAACCTTAGATAGCAACAGACCAACACCAGCAGATGACATGGCTCCCCAAATCAACACAGACTGTGGAAACTTCACACTGGACTTCAAGCATCTTGCAGTGTGTGCCTCTCCATTCTTCCTCCAGACTCTGGGTCCTTGGTTTCCAAATGAGATGCAAAAGTTGCCCTCATCAGAAAAGAGGACTTTGGACCACTGAGCAACAGCCCAGGTCTGTTTTTCTTTAGCTCAGGTAAGACGCTTCTGACGTTGTTTGTTGTTCAGGAGCGGCTTGACAAGAGGAATATGACATTTGAAGCCCATGTCCAGGATCCGTCTGTGTGTGGTGGCTCTTGATGCACCGACTCCAGCCTCAGTCCACTCCTTGTGAAAGTCCCCAACACTTTTGAATGGCCTTTTCCTGACAATCCTCTCCAGGCTGCGGTCATCCCTGCTGCTTGTGCACCTTTTTCTTCTACACTTTTCCCTTCCACATAACTTTCTATTAATGTGCTTTGATACAGCACTTTGGGAACATCCAACTTCTTTTGCAATTACCTTTTGAGGCTTTCCCTCCTTATGGAGGGTGTCGATGGTTTTCTGTACAACTGTCAGGTCAGCAGGCTTTCCCATGATTGTGCCTTCCAACTGAACCAGACTGAGAGACCATTTAAAGGCTCAGGAACCCTTTGCAGGTGTTATGGCTTAATTAGCTGATTAGAGTGGGACACTTTGAGCCTAGAATATTGACCCTTTTCACAATATTCTAATTTTCTGAGATTGTGGATTTGGGGTTTTCATGAGCTATAAGCCATAAGCATCTCAATTATGACACATCACGGCTTGAACTATCTTGCTTTGCATGTAATGAGTCTATCTCATATATTATGTTCACCTTTTAAGTTGCATTACTGAAATAAATGAATTTTTGCACAATATTCTAATTTTTAGATATCTGTATACCTCTTGATTGGAAGAAGAACGTCTGTGGGAAAGACTTTGCACCATGTGGAAGAAAGTAACGCTTTTTAATATGTTTTGTTCTTTGCATCACCATATAGATTCTAAATCTTTAATGTTTTCAGAGAATATTGTGTGGATAGATGTTAAAAGCAAGGGAAAAACAATAGGAATAAATATTTGAAAGTAATCTGTGTTTTCAGGACTTTGTTTATATGAAGGGCTTCTTCTGGAGACTTCTGACTTTGAGAGCTTTGAATGTTTTGATGAGGGCTAGAGGGGGAACCTGTTGGGGTTTTTCTTCTGATATTTATCTCCCTCGTTGAACTAAGCTTCCTTGGTTTTGTTCCATCTTACTCCTCAAAACCTCTAGGGATGATTAGTCCTGGCAAAACGCATAGCAGTAGAGGCAGAACCTGGTGATTGGGGAATTCTGGGAGTTGAAGTTCATTGGTCTTAAAATTGTCAAGATTTAGATCAAGATGCTTCCCAACTTGCTGTCCCCTAGATATGTTTTATTTATTCATTTATTTAAAATGATTGAAAGGAAGATAATATAAGCTATGATCCAGCCCATCTGGAGGACATCAGTTGGGAAAGGCTAATACTGACTGATAAGAAAATCTGGGCATGATCTTCAGTAAGCCGATAACGGTATTGCAATGTTAGATTTTAGAACCGTTCCTTAAAACTTTGAAAATTGTTCATATTAATGCTTGGTTTTTTTTTAGCGGAGGTGAAACGTGTGGGGGACACGCTTCTGGGGATGGCTACACAGTGTGTTCAAGTCAAGAATGTCATAAAAACGTCTCCTCAGACCCTCTCAAACTTGTGCCTAAAGATTAATGTAAAATTGGGAGGAATCAACAATATCCTTGTACCTCATCAACGGTAAGAATCTTTCCTTAATGCTTCCTTGAATTTGGCATATAGAGTGCATGCATCAAAACTCTGGAATTGCAATGTTTAATGTGGCAATTTTTTAGATACAAATCTTTTAACATGGCTGCGATACCTGATTACTTTAATAACCAAAATCGTGTTGGTTGCTTTGAAGTGTTTTTTTGGTGATCAAATTGGAATTTTTAAAATGGTACAGATAGTCCCTAATTTATGCTCGTAACGGAGCTTGCCCATTTACAGTTGTGATTGTTGTAGAACGGATCACTCATGTGTCTGACCTAATTTTTTGACCATTTTTTGAGATGATGGTTAAGTGAATATGGTGACCCTAAAGCAAGCATGATTATTGCCCATTGTTTATTATGGGGTGTTTTAGCCGAAAATGCTGGTTTTCAGGCAAAAGCATAATAAAACACAGTTGGATGCTGCAAATGGCCCTAAATGCAGACCAGTTGCTGAGCACCTGATGTAATTACATGACCATGAGATGTGTGATGACCATCGAAACTTTGGGACCAGGTTGTAAGTGCCATGGAGGGTCCATTATATCTTCAAACGATTGCTAAGCAATTCTTTGTAAAGAGAAAACTACCTGTATGCTGCTATAAATTCTGATTGCAGATCTGAGAAGACGCACATTCAGGCAAGGAATGAATACTCTACATTGATGTTTACTTTAGCACAGGGGGCATTCTCTATAATGACAGAGTATGCTCTTTGTTTCACATGTAAATTTAATTTTTTTTCAAAGAAACTAAATTCTGTAATATGCAGGAGTTAGCCATGAATTTGTTACATTCCTGGCTACATGCCAGAAGCATCTGCCTTTCTTTCCTTCCAAAAGTGAGGTGCATGTAATGTAACCCAGGGCCTGCTGACCACCATTTAGATATTAATACTGCGGTTGATTTGTCCCTTTTTTTTAAAAGACCTTCTGTGTTCCAACAACCAGTGATCTTCTTGGGAGCCGATGTTACTCATCCACCTGCTGGGGATGGAAAGAAGCCTTCCATTGCTGCTGTAAGCTGCGTTGTATTTATGGGTCTCCCTTCCTCCCTCTTCCTTCCCTCCCCGCCCCCAAATAATTTGAATGAGAAAACTGAGGAACTTGGATTGAAACAGAATGAATTTATTTCGATTGCTTTAATCCAGTTCTTTGTGTGTCATGGATTTATCAGGCATTCCTTCAGCTTAATTTTTCATCGTGTGGGGATTATCACCGTCTCTGGTAAAGATGAAAGATTTTTGAGGGTTACTTGTAGTTTCTACACACCTGGGTTCTGTGAATCATTGCATTTAACTTTGCTGTCCATTTATCTTATTAAAGGAGAGAAGGCATTTGTTAAGTAGTGATGAAGCATGTGGGAGGTGCGTAGTTCTTCTCTCCAAAAATAGTTCAGATGGATAAATATTTAGATAAATAAAAAATATTATATATATATTTGTAGATTTTCACGGGTACAGGTATGCAGGTCTTGGCATGTTCGGGTCTTTTCCCATGTAAGATTGAGAGTATTTTGACAACGTTTCGACGAGGTCCCACTCGCCATCTTCAGGCTGGTGCTTTCGGCTTTGTGCTTGTGCGAGCAAAGCGTGATTGGAGCTGCCGTCTCTCTATAAATACTGGTGGGGAGGTTGGCTGTGTTGTCATTTCTTGATTGGTTGATGGGGTTGATCTGCAACTTTGTGTATCTTGGGGAGGCCATAGAGCTTAGGGCATCTGGATGATTTTTCTCGGGATGATTCTCTGCTGGATCTCTTCACTGATGGGAGACACTTTTATTTTGGATTTGGTTGTTTTTTCTAGGTAGGTGGTGGGGTCAATATTCAGAGGTGTGTAAGCGGGGTCTTGGAGTAGGTTGGATAGTTTGGAGTGGTAGTCCGATGTGTTCATTACGACTGTGGTGTTGCCTTTGTCTGCTGGGAGAATGACTATGTTGCTGTCTTTCCTCAGGTTGGTAAGTGCTTTTTGTTCTTCTCTGTGTAGGTTGCTTCTGGGTGGGTTGTTGGAGCAGAGGACGTTGGTGACTTCAAGTCTGATTTTGTTGGCTGCATCTGGGTTGATTTTGGTTAGGCTAGCTTCAACTCCGCATATAATGTTTTCAGTGGGGATGCGTTTGGGGGTGACTGCAAAGTTGAATCCTTTGGAAAGGACATTGGTTTCTGCTATGGTGAGGGTTCTGTCTGATATGTTGTGTCCTGTTTGTTTCATGTGTTGTTGTGGGGAAGGGTTGGGTTTCTGGCATTTCTCTAGTCTGTGGACAAATCAGGATACCACAGCAATAAATCTCACAAGGTCATCACACAACCCATTACCCAAGCCGTTACAACACAGGAGGCTAATGGAAAAGAGTTCAAAACACAAACGACCCAGGAGATTACAACTCAGGACCCAGGACACCACAACAAAAGAACTTGCAAGCCCATCATACAACCCATTACCGAAGCCGTTAAAACACAAGAGGCTAATGGAAAAAAAATCACTACAAAACAAACAACCCAGGAGATTACAGCACAAGATCCAGGATATCTCCACAGCAAAACTCACAAGGCCATCACACAGCCCTTTATACCAACATCAACTCCATCAACCAATCAAGAGGCAGCAGCGCAGCCAACCAGCCCAGCACACCAGCCCCTACCCCCAGTATTTATAGAGAGACGGCAGCTCCAATCACACACTGCTTGCACTGGCACGAAGCCGAAAGCACCAGCCTGAGGATGGCGAGTGGGACCTCGCCAAAATGTCGCCAAGATACTCTTAATATTACACGGGAAAAGATTCTGTGTCTCTCACTGAGACACTGTTGTAAGGATAAACTTGTGAGGGAATGTATGCTAATTATAAAAGAAAATATAAATTCAAAATCTAACAAAACATTCTAAAAAAATCAAGTGACAAGTGTAAGCAACAGCCATATAAAAGATGATATACTTACTTATTAGCTGAGCAGCCATGGAACAGTTGGTATAAAGAAAGGATATTTGAAACATGGCCTCTATGGAATCCTCATTCATTTTCATGTATCCCTTTTTCACTGTTAGGTTGTAGGTAGCATGGATGCTCATCCAAGCAGGTACTGTGCCACAGTGAGAGTCCAGAAACCCCGCCAGGAGATTATCCAAGATTTGGCCTCCATGGTTAGAGAACTTCTTATCCAATTCTACAAATCCACACGGTTCAAACCCACACGAATCATCTTCTATCGTGACGGAGTTTCAGAAGGACAGTTTCGACAGGTATTAATATCTGTTTATATCATACTTACGTCCTGCATAGTTTGTGGGATATTTCAAACCAACTAACAATAAAATTCAAACACTAGTTCAGTGGTGGATTGCCAAAGCACTTAAGCCTTGCATTCATAAAAAGAGAAAAGAAAATCATAGTGAGCCCTTAAACACTATCAAGACCCCTATTGTTGATGGTCAGGTACCAGAATAAGAACATTATCAGCATCACTGCCACAAAAAGGTCCTTAAAATCTGTCAACAAAGGCATTGCTTGAATGATTTCTGTGTCGTCCACTATGAACTATGTTGAATAGGGCTGGTTCTTCCATTGATCATTGATCACTTTCTATGACTCCAGCTTAGGAATTTCTTTTTGAAAATCTTTATCTGTCCCTATTTTTTAACCCAACCTTCTTCACATGGATGAAATGGCAACCATGTATTACTCTTGGGGGGGAAAGGTGGGTTAAACATGCAGAAAAGTTTTAAAAGTTCCAGTTATAACACAGACAGTTTAGTCCTGTTCTCTGCTAATCTGTTTTTCAAGCTTGGCAACTTCCAGATGGGTGTTGAAATCCATCCATCTTAAAGTTGCCAAGCTTGAATAATAGTGCTATAGAAGTTTGTTGAGGCTAAAAAATGATAAATAATGTGTGTTTGTTTGTTGGAACAAAAATCTGATGGATGTTCCCATGCTTATCGCTATTCGAATGAGCCAAGCCCTTTATTCCTCCTCTGTAGGTGTTGTATTATGAGCTGCTGGCAATTAGGGAGGCTTGTATCAGCTTGGAAAAAGACTATCAGCCTGGCATAACATATATCGTGGTTCAGAAGAGGCATCATACGAGGCTGTTTTGTGCTGATAGGACAGAAAGGGTAAGTCTTGTCCCATTTCCAAGCAGTTTTTTCCCCCAAACAAGAATTGTAGTTGTCATTCTTAGTACAGCTACAGAGTAGTTGAGTCTTTGCAGCATTTCATACTGGCTACCATTCTTTCAGCAGATCTATAAAGTAGATAATTGCTGTTACCACATATCCTGCATGTGGAAATCCAAGACTTTGTAATAATGACAGGAGTAAGAGTTCTGTCCGAGGCTTCCTGATTAGGTTCTGTTAAAAGATTTTATCCCCTCATCTTCAAGTTACCTTTCCCCAATCTGTATTGGAAATGCAGGCCCCCAAATTGCCAACTAGTATTGGGTGGCTCAGGTCCTTGTGGATGTAGCTGAAGTTCTTTGGTTTGTATAATTAATTTATAAATAGCTTTGAGTTAATTTAAAGTTTAATCAAGTGATCACGTTTTAAAAACAAAATGTGCATAAAAACTGACTGACAGTTGCTACATGGAAGGCATAATGCTTTAAGAGATTTTGTGCAATGTAGACATTAGAATCGCAGAATTGAGAAATATACTTTTCTTTTTTTTTAAACCACATTTTTAATTTAATATTTAATTTACTTATGTTCTAGGTTGGAAGAAGTGGAAACATCCCTGCTGGAACAACAGTAGATACGGATATCACACATCCTTACGAATTTGATTTTTACCTCTGTAGCCATGCAGGAATACAGGTGAAAAATGAAGCATTCAGTTCCTGGGCCAATACTTCTTGTCATGCCTATCCAAATTTGGCATCACTGAGTGGATGAGAACAAAATCATATTTGTCCAGTTTTTGATTGAGAAAACTTAAATCGGCAAAGACTAACCTAAAGGAAAATTACTAATTTATCATTTAGTTATTTCTGCAAATGCAAACTCATTGGTTAGAATAAGCATTAAAACCTTGATTTGCTATAAAGCAGAAGCTTTCTCCTATCCAGGGTGATGAACTCTAATGGAATCTATTCTGTAATAACCCTAAGAAAAAAGATGTGGTTACTTCAACATAACATGTCTATCTCCATCCAGTTGCCTTAAGTTTGTACTGAAATGGTTTTCTGAAATAACAGACAGAATAAACTCTTCTGCATTTCTTTGGGATGCAGATAGATTTTGAACAGCTTTTTGTGCATCTTAGCTTATAATCACGCTGGACACATGACCACAGAAATGTCTTTGGACAATGCTGGCTCCTTTCGACTAAGAAGTGGAGATGAACACCGGCCCCTAGAGTCAGACATTACTGGGCAGGGAAAACCTTTCCGTTTAGATAGTTTTTGAGTCCTCTTTTAAGTTCCAATTTTTGAGAACAGACCCAGACTGTATCAGGGCAACTAAAATTTATCATGAGAGCCCTTTCTTAGACTGCTCAGAATCATTTAATTGCCATGCCTATCCTAATAAATTTTAAAAAACAGTTGCACGTTTGGAATGTTACAGAATAGTGTACCTCAGCCACAACTGTGTACTAGTGGTATTCCATTTTTTTTACTACCGGTTCTGTGGGCGTGGCTTGGTGAGCATGGCACGGGAAGGATACTGTAAAATCCCCATTTCCACCCCATCCCACTAACCTGTTTTCCAGCTCCGTTCTGTGCAGAGCAACGAAAGAAGACCCAGTTGATCAGCTGGGACTCGGGAGGCAGCCAACCAGAGTTGGTATTTACCGGTTCTCCGAACTACTCAAAATTTCCGCTACTGGTTTTCCAGAACCTATCAGAACTGGCTGAATACCACCTCTACAACTGTGGCAACTTTAAGATGCCTGGACATCAACTCTGCTGGCTGGGGGATTTGGGGAGTTGAAGTCCACTCTCAGTTGCTGAGATTGAGAAACATAGTTATAGAAATATGAGGTCAACAATTAATGAGTTGAAGTACTGGAACTACTGTCATGTTTTCTTTTTCTTAGGGTACCAGCCGCCCCTCACACTATCATGTCTTGTGGGATGACAATTGTTTTACTGCAGATGAACTTCAGCTGCTAACTTACCAGCTCTGCCACACCTATGTGCGCTGCACACGATCTGTGTCTATACCTGCACCAGCTTATTACGCTCACCTGGTAGCATTCCGAGCAAGATACCACCTTGTGGACAAAGAACATGACAGGTGAGAATGACTGCTTGTGTTGCTCCCTCAGCTAACTGACTACCTAAAAGCCAAAGGTTGGTTCTGTTTTCCAGAATTTTCTGAGCAACATTGGCTTTTTTAAAGGATTCCTTGGGATAGACTTAGCTACGCTCCATTGCACATTCTTTTAGTTGGGTCCTGTGGGCTTTGGGAAATCAGTACTGAAATAGAAATTATGTTTTCCGTATAGCAGTGTTTCTCAACCTTGGCAACTTTAAGATGGGTGGACTTCAACTCCCAGAATTCCCCAGCCAGCATAGGGCATTCCACAGTATGCATGTGTATAGTCTTTCATCTGTTACACTAAATTTTTTCCTGACAAGAAGTGTGGATTAAAGGACACTGGGATGGACAACATAGCACTCTTAGTGTGAAATTCATTTCAGGTTCCATCTAACTCTTTTGAAAGGCCTGTTCTTATCTCTTGAAATATTTCAGTGCTGCCCCAGCCTTGGAAGTCAGGTATATTTAAAGTGGGGCATTTCAAGATTAGAACACTTTTGTAAAGTTTGCACATTGAAGCTCATGTAAGTTCAGAACAGTTGGTTTTAAGCTTCAGGTCCTTCAAACACGAAAAACTTTGCACAGATCTCCAACATACATAAACATGCATTGTGTATGTATGTGACTGTAAGGAGGAAGAAAAGCGCATTGCTCATTCAGTCCACCATGTTACATTTCATATCAACAGTATTATATGAAAAGTTTTCCCATCATGTCTGCAGAAAACCACCTTAGATACAGATTTTTATAAACATTATATATAGCCCAAGGAATTATTTAGAACTCTGGTTCTAGAGATTTATTTTGCATTTGTTAACCTACACAACAACAATTCTAATATTAAAACACCATCTTTGACAACTTGGGGGGAGTTAAAAGGGATAGTGAATAAAAATGTTACTTTTGTTGGCTACTGGATGTAAACTCTGTTTGACATAATACTAGAGAATTTTGACTTCAGAGCTTGTTCATTTAGAAGCCTAAGAAGGAAAGAGGGCAGAACTGGTGCCTTGCAGATCTTCTGGAATTTGTTCATCCTCTCTTCCCTTTTTCTTCTTCCTACAGTGCCGAAGGAAGCCATGTTTCTGGACAGAGCAATGGAAGAGATCCCCAAGCCCTCGCTAAGGCTGTACAGATTCACCAAGACACCTTACGCACCATGTACTTTGCTTAGCTATATATAAAATAAAGATAGATAGATAGATAGATAGATAGATAGATAGATAGATAGATAGATAGATAGATAGATAGATCAAATGAGATGGACCCTGTTCACGAAAGGAAGAACTGAAGAATTAAGTCACATACAGTGTATGTTTCCAGAGCAATTGATGAATGGGGAGGGAGCAGCTCTGCCTTGCTGAAGCTGATTTCTGTTTTTGTGGGGATGGGGAGCAGGTCTTATCCTTGTCCTGATGCCAGGAAGATTGTTTACTTCACCAAGAACACGCCACTTATTATGCAATATGAAACCAGCCAACTGCTTTCGGAGCAGCTTCCTGTGGGAAGTGCTGCTGTCATCATCTTTTCCTTTGTGTGTTTGGGTCTCTGTGTTTCTTTTTCGGGGTTGGGGGGGGGAGGAGTAATAGTCTAATCCTTTTTATGCCTTTACCTCAAGTTGCTCAGCAGCACAACTCTTTCTGCAAAAAAACAAAAACCCACAAAAACAACAACAACAACACAAAGGGTATTAAAACTTATAGGAGCAATGCAAGTGATGTTGAGGTGGGAATGGGTTGGTCGGTGTGCAAAAGTGTTTTTGTCTGTTTTGTACCCTTGTGGGGGTTGCAAACTGCTTCCCCTCCACGGTTGTCTGTGCTTGAATGCAAGCCGAACAAGTGTTACTTTGTGTGAATGGCCCCATCTCTATTGTGGGAAAGAGTGTGCGCACTTGCACTTAATACTTCCCTGTGTAGTTTAGCCAACTGCTGCCTTTCATGTCTGTCTGCATAGCTTGGGAGTCGCACCACTCCATTCGCTTTCCATCATGGAATTAAATTTGCCATGTACTTTTCTCCCGGAAGTACTGATACAGTCTGGCCAGATTAATGATGTTGTTGCTTTCTGCTTATCCAAAAGTTCCATCCAATGTTTCCTCTTGTGTGTTGTACCTGTATCTTCTGAGCTCCTTGTGGCATCATGTATTTTCCTTCATTTCACTAGGTGGCATGTTGTGATGAAGTAGAGTTATTTTTGTTTTTAAAAAGGAGACAGATGAGCTGAGTAGCTTCCTCTCACTCTAATGTGACCTGCGCATATCTACATGTGTACTTCCCCCACCCCCTCTTTTATATTTAGTAGACAAATAATGCTTTAATTTAAGTGGGTGTACTGGCAACCTGGTTTTTTTATGTTTAGAGACATAACTATTTTGTTTAAAGGACTGAAAACCTGTTTTTGCTATCTTTTTAGTGCAATAAGCCGTTAAAGGAAAGCCGTTTTTGTTGTAGCAGCATTTTACGCCTTTCATGATGGAAAAATGGACATATCTGGGCTTCTAAACAGACAAAATTAGCCTCAATTTTGAAAGGAAAGCCTTACAAAAGGGGATTTTTTTTAAAATCAAAAAGGCAAGTTCTTTCATGCTGCTCTTTGTCTCCAGCATTTAATGCTGCCTTGTAATACAGGACGTCTGTTTGCTGAACCCTTATTTTATGAGTATTTTTCCTCTACATCAAAGCCTTTTACAGAAGTCTAACTCTTGTCCCAATGAAATCAGGCCAAGCCCAAAATGCAGGTGGGTGGGAGGGAGTCTTCCGAAGCTATTTTTGATTCTGTAGGCTTTTTGTTTTGAAATTGAGCGTGTTATTTTGTTTGGTGGGAGATACATTTTAAAAATGAGATCACTAAATGTGAATCTGGTAAATGGGCCTCTCTCTGTTTCATTCCACTTGACAACCGAAGCAAAGTATTTTATTGTCAGAGGTGAACATTTTGACTCAATGGCAGGGTTTGGGGAAACGTTTTGCACTTTGTAAACACGTGAACTGCATTTTTGTCTGCTTTATTTGCACTGGTTTTATATTATATATACAGATACGCGTACTGCAGATGGTTCATTTGGGCATTGTTGAATAACCCTGCCCTGCTGAAACAAACCAAGCACTCTCCATGTGAAAATCAATTGACTGGGTGAAGTATTACTTACCTTCATATTGCATCGAAAAGAATCCACTCTTTGCCAATCTCTTGTACAGAGAGCTGATTAACCTGAGCCCGTTTTGCTCCCCTAGCCATGATCCTTTAACTTTCTGCCATGTTTTAAAGGATGGGTGTGGATTTCTATAGGATGGTGTCTCAAAGTGCATTTACCAACACGTCTGGCCTAGCAGTTTATTCTGACTCGCAGGAAAGGGGCACAATTTGAATGCACTTGAAATCACTTTGATTAGAGAAGCAGCTCACTTGGGTTAGAAGTAAACTCCTGGTCTGAAAAATGCCCTAGTTGAGGATGTGTTATGTACGGCGCTTACCTTTGCTTTTGTGTTCTCAGCATGACTCCAGGGAGGTCAGCACAGGCAAGAACCTATGAAGTTCAGGCTTTGGGAGATTCCTTCATGTTTAGCTATCATCTCTTTGTCCAAAGAAAACATGTCCTGTTTATCAATCCAGGCTGTCCAACCTCCCTGGAGCTCCATGCAAGTTTTATAGTACCAATAGAAGAGAATACTTGGAGCTCAGGGTTAAACTGTGGAATCCTTAGTGCTTTCTGAGCTTGGTTTGTTTCCTTGCAGACATTTCATGACTCAACTAGGCCACATCTAGTTCCCTCCCTCTCTAGCACTGATGATGTTACCTAGTTGGGTCATGAAACATCTGCAAGGAAACAGCCAAGCTCAGAGGACACCAAGGACCCACAGTTTTATTGTTCTGGGTGAACATAAGGTAAAATGATAGCATGTTTTCATAAAGGCTTAAACTTTTTTTTCTGTTTTAGAGATTGCTACTTCAGTAGGAATTCATGCCCCAAACTATTTTCCAAGTTAGCTTTTTAGAAGTACTTTTAAAAAGTTATTTTGGGCAGTTGAGTTTTGCTTGCTTTAAAAAAAAAGTTGTTTACATCTCGATGCAGTACGATATGTATTTCTTATTATGTTCCTACTGTTAACCAGATTAGTTTGCAAACCTTGCCTGTCAGTTTCCTCCTTCCTGCCAAAGGCCACCTGGAAAGCATCTTTTCAATTCATGCAGTAAAATGGTTTTCATGTGGAGAGAATCTGCTAATTTAAGAACCAAACCTGGCAACATTGGAGTTGTGAAACTATCTTTATAAAGTGCCGATAAACATTCTTAGTACAATATCAATGTATTGGCATTGGGTGCCACACTTCTTACAATACTATAGCTGCTATATTTATTTAAATGGAGGTGGATAATGACTGTACGAGGCCAGAGAAGCAGGAATTCAGACTTGTGTTTAAGATGTGAGATTCTGATTTTCTGTTTTGTAATGGTTTGCTATAACGGGGGGTTCTGTTTTAACCAAGATGATGAAACAGATATTATTCTTTTGTTTTTAAAAGACTTAAGATATTTTTTGATGTTGCAATGGAACTGGGTGGGTGGGTGGGTAATAAATGGTACCTCATCTGTGATGGCAGTTTCCAGTATATTTTTCACAGGAGTATATGAACTTATTTTTGTACATGTCCTTAGTTTTAAAAGCTTTCTTGAATTTTAATGTGCTTTCATGGAAATCTTAGTCTATAGAATCTTAGAGCTGCCTGTTCAACCTGTGTACAACTGGGTTTGTAGGGGTAAGTGTCTTCTACATCCATTTTGGCTTTGTTTTTAGTATGCATATTTTTTGCCGAAAATGGTGGCTCTAGAACCCTGTGGATCCTTCCTATATATGCAAGTGCCTCTGTCTCCTATCCTCTCCCCAAACCCAGATACTTGAGAAGGAAGGTCCACCAAGAAAATATAGCTAAGAAAATATGCTAAAGGGGGCAGGGGTTTTCTCTCTGTGCCATAGGTCTGTTGGTCATGCACAGTCTCCAGTTATTCCACTTTGGCTGCAATGAGAAGGGATCCTTTGTTCCTTTCTTCTGATGACTAAAAGGTCAGAAGCAGAAAGGATCACATCAGTCAAGCTGATATTATCTAAGCCCGAGTTGCTGAGTGATGTACTACCCAAAGACATCCATCCTAAAGCTCCATTCCATAGGAACTTTTGGGCATGGAATTTGAGATAAATAGGTGCCTGCATGAAGTTGAATGATTTAAAAAACAAAACAAAAAACCACATAGATGAATAATATTACTAACAGCTAGGAGTATCTGGATCAACTGATTTGGGTGGTCTGTGTCCAAAACGAAGCATGCATATTTGGGGTGTTTTAGTTTCTGCACAGCCAGATGGGACTGTTTTGTTTGAGCCTGCCAGAATTGCATTTTAAGGTGGGCAGCCATCCAAAGGGATTGAATGAAGGATGGACTAAAATAGGGCCGATTCAGGCAGAAGTGTGTGTAAGAGGGAAGAACAGGAAAAGCCGAGCTCATTTAGCACAGTGGCAAAGGGAAGAGCGTTTTGAAAGATTGGGGGACAGTTCTGGCCAGTAAAATAGGCCATGCTAGATAGAGCCTGCAATGGAGAGATTGGGAGAGGGGTGCATGGAGATGGGAGATCATGCACTGGGACCTGCTGAGGGACCAAGGACAAGAGGGAACGATGCACACCAGCTGTGCTCTACTTGCCCTGTCTAGATTTCATTTCATGTCATCCCATCCCAAACCCAGAGTAACCCAAATGTTTGGGATTTGGTTCAGGTGACTGTGGCTGACCTGAAATGGTTGGGCAAAACTCACAGAATGGGTTGGTTTATTGTAGGCTTGAAACAAAATGTGGTTTTTTTGCATTTCATGCACCTAAAGTCTATTTTATAAGCCTCAAGACAGTTTCCTGCAAAAATGCATTAAAATTACAAATGAAATTGTTTCAGGATGTTCTTTGTCTTTATTTTGTATGTCCCTATTCTGTGGATCACCCCTGGGGATCTGATGGGTCTGCTTGTTTCCAGAGGATGTTTGAGGACTTCCTCAGGGACTTGGGAGGTTGTCGTGCTCACCTGGGGGTACTGTTCTGTCAACCTCTAGAACAGGGGTGTCCAACCTTGGCAACTTTAAGACTTGTGGACTTCAACTCCCAGAATTCCTCAGCCAGCATAACTTTACTCTGTGCTTATTAAATCTGTGGTTTCCTTCCAGCAATCTTATTTAAGGTTTCCTGGGCCTTTTAAGGGAAAGATGGGCTGGATGATCAGTTAGTAGGTTGCTGTGATGAATTTGTAAGGCATCTGGAAGGTAAAATCACATTTTCTCAAGGTTGATGTCAACTGGCCGTGTTCAGTAGCAATGACTTGCAGATCGTCTTGTTAGGTTATCTGGGACCAGTTCAACCCTGTTGATCCCAAAGAAGTGGACTAACTCCTCTGTGATATGACTTGTGGACTCGATTCATTTGGTGAAGGCTACCAGGGAAATAGCAGGTGTGAGTAAAGGATAGCTCATCTTGGAAGAAGAGCACCATTGTCTTTTCAAAGGAAGTAGCATGACCCCCTCTTCCAAGGATACATTCACTTCCACCTCTCCTTGAAAAGCCATTATTTGACCCAGCTATTTGTACAACTATTGATGGGGATCCAATGTGT